ACTACCAATGGCCTCCAACCCACTACCAATGGCCTCCAACCTAATAGGGATGAATGGTTTCCAACCTAATGGTGATGACCTTCAACCTTTTTCTGTCGGGTGCATTTCTCCAAAGGGCTTTCGGGGATACCGGGCCGCTGAGCTGCGCAGGCATATTGGGAAGATGAGGTTTGACCCTCCACCACAGCCAGCCAGGATGCGTGGCCATTCAAATGAAGGGAATGAGCAAGACAAACTGCTGATTCACTTCGTAGAAGTGGCCTGCAGCAATATATAGATGGTGTTGGAAGACAAGAAGGTCTTCAAGTGTGGTGCAAGGTGAGTTTTTCTAGTTCACTGTCAAGCCAAGCTCAGACAATTATCGCTAATGCAGGGTACCAGGTATTGCCGATGCTTCACTTTTCTTACAGATCCCAATATTGACGACGTCTTTTGCTCTCTTCTTTGGAAGCGCATGTTCGTTATCAAGTGCTCTCTGAAATGGTAACAAGAAGCTACTAGGGGCTCCTGGCCTTACTACTAGGAGCAAGGACGCTACTAGGAACAAGGGCATCGCTTATAGTAACAGGTGCCTTACTACTAGGAGCAAGAAGCTATTAATGTTAATTTAATAGCTTATTGTTACTACTAGTAAGGCACTTGTTACTAGTAGTGTGGCACTTGTTACTACAAAGGGCATCGCTACTAGGAGCGATCGGACGCCAGGACTGAAGAGAAGCCGCCCGATCCCCGCCCAAGGAGTGAGAGCATTTTCTCGGGGTCGAGCTAGCCGTCTGTCAAATGCCTCGCTGAACAAGTGCCTTACTGGTAGTAACAGGTGCCTTACTAGTAGTAACGAAAAGCCAATAGAATTAAGTTAAACAATAACAATAAGAATTTAATTAGAATTGTAATTAGTAGCTTCTTGTTACTACCAGTAAGGCACTTGTTACTACTAGCGAGGCACTTGTTCCTAGTAGCGTGGCACCTGTTACTAGTAGCGATGCACTTGTTCCTAGTAGTAAGGCGAGCCCCTAGTAGCGAACGCTCGCACATTGAAGTTATAGGTCGGATGGCAAACTCTCAAAACTGCAGCAGACAATGCTTAGAAACCTTCAAAGACTGTGACTCCAAACTCAACTCAGTAGTGCGAGCACAACTTAGTCACTGAACTGAGAAGTGAGAAATGAGATCAAAGATATCTCGGTCTATCTCGTTTTCTCCCCGAAGGGGAAATGAGACTCAACTGAACTCGGTGACTAGGCCATGACAGATCGAGCTCACATGCTTTCAAAAAGAGCATCGCAGATTCACTGTGTCAGTCTTGTTTCTTTTGGAAGTCTATTGTAAATTGAGAGTCCGGATACATTTTTACGTAAATTAAGATAGGATACGTGTTTTCTTTAGGTTGGAGGCCATCGCTATTAGGTTGGAGGCCATCACTAATATTAGAAATGCATTCATGTGTTTCTATTATGTACCAACTAACAATACTCCGATGGACGAGTTCAGCTCCAGCCTCCCAAGGCAGAAGCGGGTTCGACTCTCTGAAGACATGCCTAAAGGCCGGTCATGTCGACGCGCTTTTGGAGGTTTAAGAAACAAAAGAGACATGCCAGTTCGTTACTTTTGGGAAGCTTAATTGTGTCCCAGCGCTTTGTGAATTGTCTGAATCCTTTCGACTGCTGCGCTTTGTTGCCTCTCAAACCGGCAAGGTGTGGACTTTTATGATGTCCTGGGCGTTGACAAGCTGGCGCGGACTCTCAAACCTAGAGCGCCTTCTTTGTCCTCACATCTCACTCTCGATTTGGAAGGGTCTTCAGCCAAAGCTTTGAAAGTGTGAAGTTGTTTCTCGATTGAAAGACATGCAATTCTTGGTTGGTGAAGGTTGGTTGGTATGAAGCCTGCTGAGTCTGCGCTGCTACCATTCCCAACTTAAGACTTTGGTGTGCTTTTGCTTGACCCACAGTCCTGACTGAGTTGCTAAAGTTTCCCCAAAAATCTAGGAACCCAATGATGAGTGCGAGCGCTTCTTCAGGGAAGCGTGAACTATCCTGCGTCCTGTTCCTAGGAGCAAACAAGTTCCTAGTAGCGAACTGGTACTTAATTTAATTCTAATAGCTTCTTGTTACTACTAGTAAGGCACTTGTTACTAGTAGCGTGGCACTTGTTACTACTAGCTTCTTGTTTCGTGTTACTTAATTAAATAGGAGCGGGCTAAAAGCACATGATTCATTGTTCAAGGCAAAGCTGGCATCTCACCCGAGCCTGGCTGAGGCCACGCAAGATGAGATTCGCTCAGCCTACAAGCGCTTGGAACTCACAGACTGGGTCCTTCCCGATTTGGCAGACCAGCAAACGGAAAAAATATAGAAACGGGTGCCACGCTAGTAGTAACAAGTGCATCGCTACTAGTAACAAGTGCCTTACTAGTAGTAACAAATTAGAATCTAATTAGAATTGTAATCAAGAATAAGAAGAAGAAAAAGGCCAGCAGTCTAGGAGCACGGTACTAGATTGTAGAGCAGAAATGTAGTCAGCAGGTATCTTTAATTTTGCCTTCCGTGAGCAGTCATGCCAAAGATGAAGGATTCTCACGAGTCATGTCAAAAAGTATTCTCACCTTGATGATTGGGATTTGCTGCGTTTGTTTTGACACGCCCTTTTGCTGCATTCGTTCACAAAGGCCTGATCAGAGAGACACATCCAGATGTGAATCCCTCATCTGATGCAGCAGACAGGCTGGTCCGGAAGCCACGCTTGCGACGAGCTCTTCCTCTTCAGACCTTTAGACGTGTAGACCTTGTTTGTCTCTCTAGGAGCTAGGTTCGCTACTAGGAGCCAAGGGCATCGCTACTAGGAGCAAGAGGGCGCTACTAGGGGCTCCTGGCCATACTACTAGGAGCAAGGACGCTACTAGAAACAAGAAGCTAGCTACTAGAATTAGATTGAAATTTATTTAGAATTGAAACAAGAAGCTAGTAGTAACAAGTGCATCGCTACTAGTAACAAGTGCCTTACTAGTAGTAACAAATTAGAATTGAAACAAGAAGCTTCAGACCTTTAGACGCGTTGTCTTTTTGTGTTTTTCCTTTTTAGGCGAGGTAGCGGCGAGAGTAATGATTTGGTTTTAACTGCAAACAAGAGCTTACAGTGCTACGGTGCACTAGCTAATTATATTCCATTGGCCCGATTTGGGCGACTCAATGACCCGCGAGTGCTGTCGCATTCTTGATTTGATCACGTGTCCTTTTTTCCTTCTTGTTTCTTTTTTTTGGACTTGGCTTGGGACCTTGAGACGGTTCTTTTGTCCTTCTTTTTGTAAACACCTTTTGGGACAAGACCTTGGATTCAAGTGGCTCCGCACAGGTTCATTCAAGCCCAGGAAGCCTTCAGGTGGCTCTCGGACCCCCAACAGCGGGAGGTCTATGCCTTTTGTCCGCATGTAGAAACTTCAATGCATGAGAGCGGAGGCCATCGCTATTCCCATTTCCCATGTCGTGAGGATGGCGTCGGCGGCAAGTTCGGTGAAGATGCGCTCTATGCTACTGGGCCCACGAATGTAACTACCCTTGCTGCAAACAAGAACACATTCTTACAGTTCGCATTTTGTTGAAAAGGGAGTAACAAAGGGCATTGCTACAAGGAGCGATCGGACGCTACTGGGGCTCCTGGCATTACTACTAGGAGCAAGGACGCTACTAGTAACATGTTGAGGTTCCCTAAAGTCTAGAAATCAAATCAATCATGCAGGGGTTCTTCCTTGAAGCTTGAGCAGAGGAGTGCGTGAGAAAAAGCCTAAGTAGTTGCAGGAAAAGCGAAAAGTAGAAAGCTTTGGCGTGCCAAGTAGTAGAAACACAAACTTTGGCCTAATACTAAGCTCAGTAGCAGCTTACTATTCGTATTTAGCTATTAGGTCCGCAACTTTGCTAATATTTTACTCAGCAATCAGCTAACTACGGCAAGCTAATTTTGCTTAGTCCGCAATTTCTCAGGACTATTCGGACGAGCCAATCCTGGGAAGCCTCACTGAGATCCAAGAGATCGAGGCGTGAAAACCCAAGCCGTGGCCGACGCTACGAACGGGGCTCCTGACCGTACTCGTAGCAAGAAGCTAGTAGTAACAAGAAGCTATTAGGGGCTCCTGGCCTTACTACTAGGAGCAAGGACGCTACTAGTAATAAGAAGGTGCTTCTGGAAAGTTCGTGTATACATCTCTTCGAAAGACTCTTGGAAGGTGACGATGGGATGAAGTGATTGATTGGTCTCTTCGGTCCTTTGTCCTTTTGAACCCATCCCAACACTGTGATCCCATCCGGGTGCATAGAACAAGCAAGCTTTGCCTGGCCACTTTGCGAAAAGAAAGACCAATCCTTAGAAAGACACTTGAAGCAAGGAGCGTTAAGGAGTGAAACCGATCTGTTGTTTACATTGCCAAATTGTTTGTGTAGAACCTCTTTAGCTTCATTCAAACCCTCATGTTGTGTTTCGACCTTCTGACGAAGTCAGGAGCTCACGGCTGCGATCGACCTGGTGAACCAGTGCCGTAGAGAGATGCTTGACCGAAGGGTTGGTAGTAAGAATGCTCCTAGTAGCTTTATTGCTCCTAGTAGTACGGCCAGGTGCAGGAGCCCCTAGTAGCGTCCGATCGCTCCTAGTAGCGATGCCCTAGTAGCTTTCTTGCTCCTAGTAGCCCGTCTTCAGGGCCAAATGTTTAGGTCCAGGAGCCTACGTGGTTCATGTAGAAGCTTCTCTTTGCTTGGTATCGGTCCTTGCTCAACTGACCCAACCAGAAATATAAGAAATAATTGGGATGTGTCATTTCCTTGTGATTGGGGTCACGGTCAAGGCTTAACAGTATTGCGCTCTTGGTGGAACGTTTGGTCCCGCAACGGATGTTGGGTCCGTTAAGATGGAAAGTAGCGGTCGCCTCCCACCTACTGGTGATGGCCTCCAACCAAGTAGCGAAAGATTGGAGGGTAAGCCAGTTAAGCTCCACACTTAGGCCTTTCGTTGTGATGCACCATGGAATTGGAGTCAATACTTTCAAGTGAGGTCAACTGTTTAGTCAATATCCCGAACCTAGCAGGAAGGGCACCGACAGTCACAAAACTGCTACCTCAAAGGTACACACCCCAAGCTGGCTTGTCCATAATGACTTTAAAAGAAATACGTTGAAGTGGTTCTTGTGATTTGATTTTGAGGATCACAACGAGAGGTGAAGCCTGGCACTCAGATCACAATTCAAGGTGCACAAATGTGAAGCCGAAGGGATAAAGAGGGGTTGAGATCAAGTGCGAAGAGCTGCTCACAGCAGAGTTTACAGATGTCCAGCCACTGCATAAACCTTTGCGAGGTGAAAATCAAGCACCACATCTCGGACATTCGGCAAAGGTTTAGGCGGGAGATGTGCGCTTTGGGTGCCGACGGCGTTTGCCCTGTTGGTTTTCTGCTTGTGTCTTTGTAACAAATTCTTCTCAGGATCTTGATAAGAACAGGTTTGATGTCATGACCCATGTTTCAGTTGTGCTTTGCCAGGGTCTACGGTGCTGAGCGCATGAAATACGTCCGGTGTCCGCCTTAGACAGCTCCATTTGCTGAGCTTCAATATGACCTCCTTCAGCTGCTAAGAAGACATTGTTTTCAACAGAGGTTGCCTGGAAGAGTGCAAGTGAAAAGGAAATATGTTTAAAAGACCAAATTGCTATGGCCTCCAACCTAATAGCGATGGCCTCCAAGGTGCAAGGGAGACGGACAGCGGGAGATAAAAACCTGGTTTGCCAGTCTTTGCATTGCAGCGCTGACAACCACTGAGGAACTTCTTCAACCAACGTCTCAAGAAGATCTTGGGATACCCCAAACTCATCAGGCCCGCACAGTTCCCTTGTTTAAGCTTTACCCCAAGAAGCTAGTAGTAACAAGTGCATCGCTTCTAGTAACAAGTGCCTTACTAGTAGTAACACGAAGCTATTAGTAACAAGTGCCTTACTAGTAGTAACAAGTGCCTTATTAGTAGTAACAAGTGCCTTACTAGTAGTAACAAGAAGCTACTAGGAACAAGTGCCTTACTAGTAGTAACAAGTGCCTTATTAGTAGTAACAAG